ATTAAAATGTGAAACATGATGTAGCTGTTATTGTTGTTGCTAATCACAAGATGATTACTTTATTTTATTGATTTTGTGATTCATTTCTTTTAATCCTCCAAAAATATAATAAAGAAGTAGTTCATATATATCATAACGAGGCATTATTGATATATGATATGTGATAGTATAGGATTTACGACAACTAGTTGTAATATAGAATTAGTCGCAATGCTGAAAAATGAAACCAGCAAAAACAATTTTCTTAGTATTGTAAATAAATAACTCAGAGAGGCCTAGAAAATCATTAACAATCTACTCAAGGACAAGAAACATTAGACATAAATATAAATACGAATGTTTAGTGCACTCTTCTAATTGAATATGAAGTATTATACAAGAGTAAGTAGTAACCGCTTCAAAAAATTTCCAATCATCCTCTATAATTTTTCCTTATTTTGGAGTTTCTATCTACTGCAATTTTCTCAATTCGACAATGAATATAGTTTTTATCTTTTCATAACATTTTGATAAATTGAATATATGTACGCCAGCCTTAAATTATCGTTTACCAGTGAGATTCTCTCATTCGATAGAGTAAATCTTCATTTTTCACATGCCATCCTTATCCTTGCGCCGTGCTGTATGTGATTAAATCAATACCTGCAAATAAAGACTTTTTGAAATAGGAACCACGCTTCTATAAAATATGCGATCAACTCTACGTTGCGACTAGTTGTCGTAGCGCGCAATTATCGTTCTCTCTATCGTATAGCAACGTCTATCACAATTTGCGGGGAAAGAACGAATCCAAGCTTTTACCTCTATACTTCAACACTCGTTTTAGATCATATTTCAGCAAAAAACAGTTATGTAATACATCTCCAATAAATTGACTAAAAAGATTAAATTTTCTACTATGACTAAAAGAGAATTGAAAATTTTAATAAATTTTTTTTTCTAATCAAAATTAAAACAAAATATTTTTTTAGTAAAACAAATGAGAAAATTACTTCATAGAATAAAAATGATTGACTCTTTTTAATACTTACAAGACAATGTGTAGTTTCTGGTCTTAATGTTAAAAAATCCCAATAAGCATCATAATCAAAAAGATTAGTAACAGGATTTCGTTTTTGTGAATGTACAAGTGATGGATAAAGAATTGGATCACGAATAAAGAAAATCGGTAAATGATTACAAATTAAATCAAAATTTCCACAATCAGTATAAAATTTAATTGCCATACCACGTATATCACGTATAGTATCTGAACTTCCTAATTCACTACGAAAACGTGAAAATCTTATTGCTATTGGTGTTTGTTTATTTCGTGTATCAAGAAAATGTGCTCGTGTTAATGTTGAACCAATATCTGTTGTACATTGAAAAAAACCAAATGCACCTGAACCTTTTCCATATGAACAACGTTCAGGAATTTTTTCTTCATTAAATTGACCTAATTCATCAAGTAAATATGTATCTTGTAAAAGTATTGGACCACGTGAACCAGCTGTTAATGAATAAACTTTATCACCAATAGGCATACCAGATAAACTTGTCATAAGAATTGGTTCATTATTTGAACGATATGTTTGTAATTGATTAGCTGCTACATCACGATTAAGTAAAAAAAGTGCTTCACTTGGTGATATAGTACTTTGAACAATACCCGAAGGTATATTATTTGATTGATTTTGCATGTCAATTAGACAAATGAATGAATTATAAGAATATCCTTAGCAACATAATATTTATTTTTCGTGTCGAAATATGAATACAATAGTTTTTGTTTTTGGGATAAAAAACAAATAATTATAATGAGTTTTTTCTTTTTGTTTTTCATGTTTCAATATAAATGAAATTTGACGCGATCAAATTCAAGTACATGACAAAATTGAGAAATATTAAATAACAGTTGAATTTTATTGTAAATTGTTACAATAATAATAATAAATATAATTGTCTTGACAATTAAACAGAGTACATTCTTTTGCAATAAAATATATATGACTATAGTCATCATAAAACTAAATGAGAATCAGTCAAATAAATGTTTCCTATTCATTCTCTTCGTTGCATAAAAAATGGCAATATGAGAATTGACTTCCGGAGTAGATAAAAACTACAATGAGTAAGAAATGTCGTGTGCATGTGCCATTGATTAACTATGTATGAGAGTATATAGGTGTTGTTTGATTGATGTAATTAGATATGAACAACAACAAAAAAAAAAGAAAAGAAAAAAGAACAATAAAGAAAAAAAACAACGAATATTAATGTGCTTTAAAAATATACGTTCGTATTTTATTACTATTAGCTTAATATTCGTGATTGTTAGGTCTGTTCGTTTGTAATCTTCTACTCATTTATGTCTTTCACAGTTGTAATGGAAGCTCAATAAGCATGCAGTTTTATTGAACAAAAACCTAGTTTTTTTTCTCTCACTTATATTCCTTTCGTATTTATAAGTATATGCGTGACTACAATAATGATTAATATAGTTGTCAGTTGCATCAGAGAATTCTTTTTGTTGTTCTCTATAGCTTTGAAAGAGAGAGAGAGAGAGAGAGAGAGACATGCGAATATGCTGTCGCTGTTTCTCTATGTTCCTCCAACGCTTATAACGAGTGAACAGGTAGAACATCACGTCGCATATATTTACTTATGACAATCGTTTTTTTTAGTCATCATTGAAATGCGTAGAGCGAGAAATTGACACCTGTAAATTGTCGAGCAAGTTTTTTGCTTGAATTCTTCCTCTCCTTTTTATTGTTAACATACTTCTACTTTCTTTTCTTCCTGTTTTACTAATTTCTTTTCATACCAGTAAATCTAAAAGAAATACTAACATTTGATTTTCAATGACAAACTACATTAAAATGTATTCTTTTGATCGTTCAGTAATGAATATGAATCTCATGTACAGGATATCAGTACGTAAAAGATCGCAACGTATATCTTACTCTTTATTTATTTTTTTTTATTATTTATAGGAATATAAATAGAGGATGTAAATGATTATTTAATAATGCTTTACAGTTGTAGATCAAACAGGAACTCCCATTATCTTTGCTCTTCTAAATCTTATTTATTTAGTAGAAAACACAAAAGTATACATGCAAATTATCATTTTCTCTTCAGTTTTACTGTTGCTAAATGTCAAGGATCCTCTAAATATTTCAGAATACTTGATAAGACATGTGATGAAGTATGCACTGCACTATTTTCTTTTCTTTTTTTTACAATATGAACGTTGGCGATAGAAATGACAAACTAAAGATGGTTATTGAATAGAAACCAAACAAAGGTTTGTTAGTCCCTCAATATGTGAAACTAGACAGAACACAGAATAGAAAAAATGATGAAGAAAAAGAAGAAAAAGGGTAGAAGAATAGACGATCCCAAGATCGTAGAAAATTTTTCTCGGTTTTTTTTTTGTCATGTGCTGATAGTTTCTCGTTGCTTACTTATTGAGCTAACTGACTGGAAAATTTTTTTATGTGTCGCTCCGAACGACTCGATGTCCGGTTATTATTTTTTCGCATGCATATAAAACATTAATGATAATAACTTTGTCAAGATTATGGTTTCTTCGACAAATAAAAATTGTATTTTTAAAGTGTCGTTATTCGACGTCACATAGATGAAACCTCTAGAGTGAGCGCATACATTACTTATGCTTCATTTTTTTTTTCATGATTTATTTTGTAAGAAATATTTTCAATCATGTTAGTAACTAGATATCATCATAATATTAATAAGTGAAACATCATATATTTTAAGTAGTAACATTAAGACAATGTATTCTATTGTGCATGATAAGATTGAATCTATTAATGTATCTTGTTTAACATCCTTCTATTTAATAGAATATGATATGATACTTTTTTTTTTAAATGTCTGTTATACTGAGAAAACTAAACAATATTATGTTGAAAAGAAATTTATTTGACAGGCAAGATTTTATCGTTTTTTTTTTCTTCTTTGATTTTCGTTTCTTTTAAATTAAAAAATGTTAGCAAATTCATCATAGATCGAATCAGATGTTGATAACATAATGAAGATACAATTGCGTGTTACAAATAGTTATAAATAAAATTCATTTGATTTCAAATAACTATCAAATGTTTGTTTTCATCATGTTTCTTTTTTTACATTTAATTATATATTCATTTTGATAATGTAGTAACTTGACTGTAACACATGTATAATTGTATCAAATATATTTGCTTAATGGAGAGGAAAAAAAAACAAATTTTATGTGAATTCATGTTTGAAAGAGTGTTTTATTTATAGAAAGAAATCTTTGTATGAGAATATTTTCTATTGACTTTCTGTAAGTTTTTCTCAAAAATATTATAAACTTATTGTAATATCGTATTGTTAAAGAATTAAGTACATATCATCGGTCAAATAAGAAAAAGCATATACCTACCATGAACCTGTAAGTCTTCTTTTTTGGCCTTAATTAGATCGAATCCAATGGACACTAGATTTTAAATATCATCAATTTTTCACGTTTTAAAAACAAAAATATAATGTCACTTGTTGTGTCTTCTTCATCACTTTTTTTCGTCATTCTTTTTTCAAAATACAATGTAAAATATCTGATTTTTTTTTAATCATAAGACGTGACCTGATTTCAGTCAGATATATAAGAATTAAACTACGTGTTTTTGTTTATTCAAACATTTTGTTTTTCATTCATTTTTTATTATTCTACTGGCAAGAATTTTATACAATAGTTGCTATGCTGCTGTCTTTCATCTTTCATTGAATAGTGTCAACGTAAATTTTCAATAGCTGAAGTATGCAAAAGTGCACTTTCGTTCTATCGTCAACATAGTTACCGTCATAATTTACTGTACATTTCAATTTTCTTTCAGACAATGCATGTCTATATATATTCTTTTTTTTTTCAATTTGGTTTATGTATTTTTGCTATTTGCTTTTTCTGTTTTTACTTTAGAATGAATAATAATCTCCTATTTATGATGAATATCGTTCGATAATTTTCGATGATACGCCCGACGAATAGAGTCGGGCAACAGCCAGTTGTATGGCTTTTGTTCATATTACGTTTACGTAAATGTATTAAACTACGATATTTATTAATAATATTTTTGTTCTTTATTATTGTTATTTATTTACGTCTTAACAATCATGTACCGTCTAATCAACAAATACCTAATAAATTTAAATCTATTAATAATGATAGAAAAATTTCTTATTATGAAGCAAATGATAATTATCATCTTTCAGATAAATGTAATTTTGATGCAACAGAAACTTTACTTCGATATAAATCCTTAAAAGATTCAAATAATGATACTGGTGATAATCGTCCAAAACCAACAGTTGAACGTTTACATAAAATTTTTTCAATACTTATTTCTCATGAAGAAAAATATCGTAAAGTATTTGAATATCTTGGTATATTTCATTTTACTGATTTATACAATACTCTACGTCCATTTGCAAATAATACAAAACGTTTACATGAAATTTATTGTCTTTTTCAACGTTATATAACTGTATCAGATAATGGTCATATTGATATCACACCACATTTTATTTATTATTTAAAACAAGTATCTAATTATCTATCAGATGGTTTTACCAGTGAACATCCAATATGGAATAACACAATAATAAAAAATCTACAAAAACCGGTTATTATTCTTGCAGCTAATACACGTTTTTATGATACATTACAAGCATCGATGCGTACAGTTAATCAATATTTCTATAATTATAGTGTTGCTATATATGATCTTGGTTTTGATCAAAATCAATTAAATATGGTAAAATATTTTCATTCTTAATAGAGAAAATACATTTGAGAATAAAAACATAGGCTATTAAGAAAATGTCTTTTATCTAATAAAACAAATTTAATAACTCATACTCAAGAAAATTAGTTTATAATAAAGACATTCCAAATCCTTGAAGAATCAATTGAGAACAAACAATGCTAACTAGAATCAATCAGACATCTGAGAGTTATTCTAGCCGATATATAGACTAATTGATTTTTCTTTCTCTCGATAACTTTCGATAAGTGTTTCAAGCTGTGTTTTTATGATACATATTTTATTACTTTATTTTGATTTCTATTACGAGAATTACACACACACACACACACCTTGAGATATTTATTACATATTTTCAATCCACAAAAACTGTGTCTATAGATATTGTTCTTGAAATCAACATCTAAAGAATAAAATTTATGTTCTTCATGAAGTAGTTTATTCTACTAGATTAAACATGAAAAATACAACATCATAGTATAGCAGCCCAGTAATAATGAGTTGTTTCAAGTCTTCTGTCAAAATAAAAAAGCTTTACTAATCTCAAAGATAAAAATCAAGAAAAAAGTTAGTCTCACTTATATCAACATATTCCATAGAAAATAAGAAAAGAAGAGTTATTATAAATGTTGATAAGTTGAACGTTTCTCTCTTTTATCTATACAAGATGACCAACATATTTTATGAAACACGATCTAAAAAAGGAGCATTGGAGTACATAGGGTAGAAATTCAACTACATCCCTTCCCTACATACTCTATATCAATAACTTCTCTTAATAATTCCTTATTCGATTTCTCGAGGATTAAGTATAAGAATGATGAATAGATATATTCTAAAATAGATAGAATAAAGCAATCTTCGGCGATTAGTAACAGCAGCCACACCATGCTTCATATTCTAATCCAACAGGAATTGTATGCTAATAGTTTATTTTTTATTTTAGATTAAAAGAAATTGTGAACGATGCATAATCATTCCATTTCCATTTACTGAAATCGAATCAGTCGCTCCTCATATTCGAAGTTTACCAAATTTTGCTTGGAAACCTATTGTAGTTCAAGTAAGATTTTTCAATATAGAAAAAAAAATTAAATATATATATATATACAAAATATAATTATAATTTTTAGGATGCAGTACAACGTTTTGGTACAATAATTTATGGTGATACATCAGTTCGTTATTTAACATCAAATTTTGATCGTATAATAATCGATAATTTAATACGTGGATTTTCATGTCGTGAATTACCTGGACATTATTTATCATGTTTTACTTTATCCGGAACATTTTCATGGTTTAATGAAACATCTTTTACATTCGATGATATTTATATAGCTGAAGCAGGTTTTGTTGCTGTTACTGATAATTTTCTTTCACGTCTTGTACTTAAAACATGGGTTACATGTGCACTTGATTCAAATTGTATATCACCATCAAGTTCTCGAACAGAATGTAAACGTATGAGTGGAATAACAGGTACACATCGTTTTGATCAATCAGCTATGGTTGCTACATTATCATTTTATTTTTTTCAAAGTTCACGTCAATATGATAAAACTGATCCAGCACCTTATGATATGTTTTCATCTATACAACAAAAAGTAGCTGAAGTTCGACGTTTTGAAGGTGAACATAATTATTTTACACCAGGAAAATATCGTAATGATGAACAGAACAGTTCAACAACAACCACAACAACAATAAAAATACTATAAAATTTTAACAACTTTATACAGTGAAGAAAAATTAAATTGTTATGTATATTATGCATTTCTATAACTGTGATATTTATTTATGAAATGGAATTTTTGCTTTGTTATCGGGTTTTTGTTTTGTTAATAAGTTTTTTGTTCTTCATTAAAAAAATATAATAAGAGAGAATAGTTGAGTTCAGAAAAAAAATTTTTTTTTTTTTGAACTTTTACATATCCATGACATATATTTGAATTATCGATGGAATGTTCAATTTAAAAATCAAATAGAATATTTCAATCAAAATTTTATTTTATTTTTCATATTAATAGAAAATTTGATACAGTTCTTTGGAAAACATTAGCAATTTTTTCATAGACTATACACTTTAGTTCATGTTGTTTTTTTGTTTAACTAGGGATAGGCGAGTCCGACTTGAAAGTTGGGTGTCATTGACTCGAGTCATTCGTACAAAATTTTCGCAAGTTAATATTTGTATTTTAACATCTTTAAAGTGCAATGAGACATTAATTTAAATGTTAATCGATAAATTTTGCTTGTAAACAGATTTAAGTTTAGGTGTTTTTACTGTGTTGTGGAAGACTGTTCTTATTATTTTTTTTTTTTCTTGTGCATACAAACTAGGAACTAGATATCGTGTCATGAAAAGCTTGTTGACGACATTCTTAATCAAAATAAATAAAAAACGAAAAATGGCAAAAATATTTTGACTCAACGTAAAAAGTGATTTGACCAAGGGGGAAAAAGCGAGACTTCATCTACTTCAAAAAAAATTTGAAGTACGATTGAAGTACAGTGAAGTACAAGTGAAGTACGGTGAAGTACGTGAAGTATGAAGTCTCGCTTTTTCCCCCTTGGATTTGACTCACCTAATCCTGTTTCATTTCACTATTTTTTTTTTTGTTGTGATTGGTATGACAATATGAAGGTACAAAATCAGACATTGAAAGTTTTTAATGTCAGCTACAAAATATCCAAGACTTGATTAAGAACTTTCATATCATCACATTGATCGGAACGGAAAAAAAATGGACGGATACGTAGATACAGTAACTTCTTTCATGTTGAATTGTTGATCGACATTAAGTATTGATAGAAAGGTTTATCGTCTGATTTTAGTCTAGATACATCCGATCTGTAATAACATACAGCGATTGAATATTAGACACAATCTGAGGATGTATGTTTGATGTTTCCAATTCAGCAAGTTTTCGACATTGTCGTAATTTTCAAAGATAAGCTTCATTTCTTTTTTGGAAATCAGAGCAAAGCTGTTCAAATTGATGACACTCTACTATATTTACAATATATGATGAACTATCTCTTATTCTTTGATAAGTGTTAGAAACGGCCGTATCTCAAATGCCATTCACATAAAAACTAGTGTCGTCAGGATTTTCTGTACGCTATTCTCTTACAATTATCTGATTGTCTCTTATGGTATATTCTCCAAATTTTAAGATTTTTTCGTTCCTATTTTAATTACGTCAATTATTATTCAATCTTATTATTATTGTTGTTCTTCTTCTTCTCTTCTTTGAATTGTTCCAAATCTAGATATGTTCACTACTCTATCAATAGATGTTTTTTTTTTCATGTACAGAATGACAAGCGAGTTTAGTTACAGTGCAGTACAGATGCATCAATTCCTATAACATGATGTCAAAGATGACATTGTTTTTTTCCTTATTAAGAATGTAGTTCTTGTCGATTGTTTATATCAACCATGAACAGTTTTTTTTTTGGAATTAATTCTAAGTGATTTTGAGACTGATGTTTTGCATTAGACCAAAAAAAACTAAGAATAGATTTGGAAAGAGCACTCAAAGTTGATTACAACTGACATGAAGAATCGCTAGGAGTTCGATAATTTTCGATACTGGAAATATTCTAAACTCCGATTAGAAATTCAAGGAATTGGTTGATTCCTCCTTACAAAAACACATGTCTTCTATTGAAAATTACCATACCTCCTAGCAGTTCTTCATGTCAGTTGTAATTAGCTTTGAACGCTATTTTCGAATCTATTCTTATTTCTTTTGTCTAATACAAAACACAGATCTCAAAATCAGTTGGAATTAGTCGAAAAAAAAAATGTGAATTTTCAACCAATTTCAACACTTTTGTTTTATATTTTATGAATGTCGACTACAGCTTCGAATAGAGCAAAACAATCCTGATCATGGTTGATATAAATAATCCACAGGAGCTACATTCATAATAAGTTAAACAAATGTTATCTTCGACAACATGTTCTAGGAATTTTTGTATCTCTATTCAATGTGCTCTTTCAATTAGACCAATCAGAATATGAATACCGTCGATCTGAAGAAACATCGATAATTAGCTTAGCGCATATCCTCTGAAGTCAGCAATTCGAGTATCAATGCTATATGTTGAAAACTTTGTTTGACTTGAATTATTTTCATTACAGTGATATGCACAAACGTTATATATTATAAGTGGCTACTGCCCTCTATCTTTTTCTTTCTTACTATTACATATAATATTGGCTAAGTTGACAAATTCCAACAATGGCAAATAAATACCAACCAATAATGAACCAATCAGCTGTGTTTTTTTTTGTACTATAACCCTTTCTTTGATTTTTATTATTTGAAGAAATTTACTTTTATTTGAAATAAAACTTCAATAGTGTTTGTGGAAATAACACATAATGCGTCATTCAGATTTTCGTGGTATGGAAAAAAATGCTCAAACACTTGATGAAGAATATGATGGTTTATCAGCTCGTTCTGTTGATGATCATTATAATTATCCACTTTCACCAAGTGTTCATGGAGAATTTATGGCTGATGGTACAAATAGAAAAGAACATTCATTACATGCATTTGTTGCACCAAAACAAAACAAAAATAGAAAGAATAAAAAAAATAAAGGTACAAGTATTGTTAATAAAGTAGTAGAAGAAGAACTACCTGTTGTTCAAGAAGATCCACAACGAACGAGAGGACGTAAAATATTACGTGACGATTTTGATACTCAATTTGATATGGAACCAGACGATGATATAGAACGATCAAAAAATGAAAGTAAATCTTTTCTTTTCTTCTCAAGTAAAAAGAAAACCAAATGAGAAACTTCTATAATCTTTTAGCTGTACCTATTCGTCCATCTGGACTTGAAACAATACCTGCTCGTGTAGCTACATTAAAAATAAGTGACAGATCTGATCGAAGTATTTCACCACAAAAACAATCAAAATCTACATATGATTCTCCAAGTGTTACACCTCGACAAGGTGTTTCACCATCTTCTGTTTCACGTCGAAATGAAAATACTTCATCATCTGTAACTTCTACTTTAAAACGTCGTCCAATAGCAGCTGATCGTACTAATACATTACGTGATTATAATGAACGTCTTGAAGGACGTGATTTATTAAATTTAGTTGTTGTTGGTCATGTTGATGCAGGAAAATCTACATTAATGGGTCATCTACTTGTGAAATTAAAAGTTGTTGATGATCGTACAATGCATAAAAATAAAACTGAAGCAGCTCGTTTAGGAAAAGAAAGTTTTTCATATGCTTTTGTTTTGGATGAATCCGAAGAAGAACGACAACGTGGTGTTACCATGGATATTGCTCAAGCTCAATTTAAAACTAAAACTAAAATTGTTAATCTTGTTGATGCACCAGGACATAAAGGTAATCCAAAATACACACACACACTCATATATTTCAAAAGTTTGTGTCATCGAATTCTGGATATAGATTTAATAGAGAATATAGAATACGAAAATAACGAAAAGGATATGATTCTTTTTTTTTCGGAATATAGAAATAGATGCTGTATTCAAGTTTCTAATGAAAAACAATGGATTTTCGTCTTACGAAGGAAGTTGCCCAATTGATTAATCGCTTTTGAGCTAAACGCATGTGCATTATATAAGCTTTAAACGATCATGAATATTCCTAAAAGAGTTCGGGCCCATAGGTTATTACTGCTAACATATTACATTTTTATAGTATTATTCAATATAACGTCGTGGTTGTCCTCAAAATCATAGGAAAACTGATTTCTGAATTTACAGTTGAAACTTGAATATCGAATTTGCACGGATATCTGAGCAATGAAAAATACACACTTGTACCAAGGTTGTATCATAGGATGGAAACAACGAAATAACTTGAAACTTTCACACAATAAACTATTCTCGTTGAGACTTGTTTCTATATAAAGTTTCAAGACGAAATTCGAAAGTTAGTTTTTCTTAAGAGGACTGTGATATTGTATTGAAAATACGACTATAAAAATTAATATAAATTAAAAGCGATTCATCAGTTGATGGACTTCCATCGTCAGTGTTACATATGAAACTATATGATTAATAATGAAATGTTCACTGTTGTAGTTATATTAAATTATTTAGTTGAATTTTTCAACAATGCAAACACGAAATTGCATTAGTATCAGAAAACTAATAAGAATAGATATTTTGAACATTTATCAAAAATTAAAGTATGAATATTTCTTTAATAGATAAATTATTTAAATATAGAACAATTTGAATATTATTTTTAATTGATAATTTCTCTATTATTTTAGAATACAATATGTAAGTTGACTTGTGTTCAATTAAATTGATCATATATATTTTAAATTTTTACTAAAACTAATAATATAGTAGATCAATAATAGTTCACAGAATATATAAGTAGTATTCATTTCATAATTATAGATATCTTAAAATTTGACTATTGATAAAACACAATTAGAAGAATTTTAATAATTAAAAAATACAATGAAAAATAAAAAATATGTTTTTTTTTTAATTTCTTCTTTTTGTTTTTTTTTGATAGACTTTATACCAAATATGATAAATGGAGCAGCTCAAGCTGATGTTGCTATACTTGTTATTGATAGTCGTCGTGGTGAATTTGAAACTGGTTTTGAATTTGGTGGTCAAACACGTGAACATGCTCTATTATTACGAGCACTTGGTGTATCACAATTAATTTGTGGTGTTAATAAAATGGATACAATAGAATGGTCACAAGAACGATTTGAAGAAATAGTTAAAAAACTTTCAAGTTTTCTTAAATCATCCGGTTATAAAGAATCAGATATTACATATGTACCGCTTAGCGGTTGGACAGGAGAAAATTTAATAACACCAAATAATCCATCATTATCATGGTATCAAAAAGAAGATAATCCTTCAAATATAAAAATCAATGGTGTTATATGTGGTGCAACATTACTTGATTTAATTGATCGTCTTAAACCACCTGAACGACCTATATCAAAACCATTCCGTTTATGTATAACAGATGTATATCGTGCAACAGGTATTGGTGCTGGTACTGTATCTATATCAGGTCGTATTGATTGTGGTGGTGTTGAAGTAAATGAACGTCTTCTATTACGACCATCAAATGATCAAGTAACAATAAAAACAGTTCAAATTGAAAATACAAATGTTTCATCAGCATTTGCTGGTGATAATGTAACACTTAATATTCAAGGTGTTGATCCAACACATTTATTTATTGGTAATGTTGTTTGTGATCCAGAATATCCAATACCATGTGCAACTATAATACAAGCACGTATTATTATATTTAATATATCAGTACCAATATTACCCGGTACACCAATTGTATTTCATTTTAAATCTATGCAAGAACAAGGTAAAATAACAAATTTAATTGAAGAATTAGATCGTTCAACGGGTGAACTTAAACGAAAAAATCCACGTTTATTAACAAAAAATTCAAGTGGTGTTATTGAAATTGTACTACAACGACAAATATGCTGTGAATTATATTCAGATGTTAAAGAACTTGGACGTTTTATGTTAAGACAAAGTGGTTTGACAATGGCAGCAGGAATTATAACTAAAATAATTAGTTAAAAAAACGAAACAAAAAAAGAATATATAAAATAAATTTTGTTTTTTTTTTTTTTTTGTTATTAAAATTCAGTTTTTTTTTCTTCTTTTTCTTTTTCTCCTAATTTCAGATGTTAACTACTATCATTATAATAGCTATTGGTTTAACATTTTTAACACTAATTTTAACTATTATTTGGTTATTAAAAGTTTCAGGACTTTTTACGCCAATTAAAATACAAGTTCTTCAACCATCATTTGAATTTTTAACGATTGCCTATAAATTTCAACAGGGTGATTATTCTAAATCAGCAGATATATTTCGAGATATTCTTAATTATTCACCATCACATTCGACTATTGCAATTTATTATGATAATCCAGATGTTGTAAGTTAAAAGATAAATTCGAAAAAAAAAGAAACCAAGCTATAGTTTGTTTATTTTAAATTAGATACAAGTTGAACAACGACGTTTTATTGTTGGTATGATTGTTGATGAAGCTAAAGATGAAAGCATAATTGAACGAATGAAATCAGATGATTATAAAATTTTTAAACTTCCAAAATCTGTGCAATCAATTTATACAACATTTCCATTTAATAGTGTTTTTTCTGTTTCTATAGCAAGCTCGAGAGTACCTTCTCGTTTAGCAGATTTTATTCAGGTAGATAATAACATTTTTTGTAGTAATTATCAATAGAATTTAATTTTTTTTTGTTTTGTTTTTCCTAGACAAATAAATTAGATGCTCATCCTTTCATTGAAATATACGAACCAACATTAATTCATTATTTTGTTCCTTTAAATAATCATGAAATTTATAATGTTCCTGAAATCATTTCTGAATCATCTTAAAATATAGATAAAGCGAACAAAACAAAATTTCATATCTTCTTTTTAGATAGAGAATTTATATATATATATATATTTTTTTTCAAATAGTGTAAATAAAAAAAAAACAAATGGCTAATCTTCCTTGGTTAGTAAATATGATTGAATTATAGAGGAAAAAAAGACGAATAATTAATTATTTAGGATTGAAAAATATCGTCCGGCAACACTTGATGAACTTGTATCTCATAAAGATATTATTGATACAAGTAAATTTTCATTTTGCTCTTATTAATCTATTTTTTTTTACTATAGTCAAACGTTATATGGCACTCGGTGAATTACCACATTTACTTTTTTATGGACCAGCAGGCACAGGTTTGTTTTTCTTGTACTTGTATGTTATGCATTTTGATTATTTTATTCTTTTTTAGGAAAAACAAGTACAATTTTGGCATTAGCTAAACAGTTGTATACACCAGCAGAAATGCGTGGTTGTGTGCTCGAAGTAAATTAAATGATTTTCCTAAAGGATTTTTTTTCTTCTATATATTAATGATCGTAGTTAAATGCATCTGATGATCGAGGTATTGGAATAGTACGTGATGAAATTCAAACATTTGTTAGTACACAAACTCTTCATAAGTATGAAGATATTAATTTTTTTTTTTTTGTATTATTGAAAAATTTTCTTATATATATATATATATTTGTTTTATTTTTAGAAAAAGTGTTAAATTAATTATTCTTGATGAAGCTGATGCTATGACATCTGATGCACAAAATGCTCTTCGTCGAAGTAAAATTTTTCTTTATTTTTTTGTTATTTCTCATTTGTTTGTTTGTTTTTTCTTGTCGTGAACAGTTATTGAACAATATACTGCTACAGCTCGTTTCTGTTTTATTTGTAATTATTTATCAAAAATAATTCCAGCTGTACAATCACGTTGTACACGATTTCGATTTGGTCCATTATCAAATGAACAAATGATGCCTCGATTACAATATGTTGTTGAACAAGAAAAGTTAATACAAAAAAAAAATTTAATAGAAAAAAAAGAATTTCTTGATTTGTTTATTTAGTGTAAAAATTGAACCTGAGGGTAAAAAAGCAATTCTTCAATTAGCTAATGGTGATATGCGACGTGCATTGAATATTCTTCAGGTATTATTTTTAACATTATTAAAAACAAGAATATAAGAGCTAAACAAAGCTATATTTATTCAAGACATATTTCTACTAAAGAACGTTGTTTATCGATGTCTATTAATCAAGTTTAAAGACTTTCTCTCTGCACTAGAAATTTTCAGATTATTTCGTTCGTCTTAAAAGACTGAAATTCTGACACGAAAAACAAAATGAGGTGAATCTATCCCGTTTTTTAAATTATAGTACATCTAATTGAATTGAAACTTTTTTCTACGAATACTAGAAAATGTTTAAGGTGTTTGGTTATTTTTTTTTGCTTCAAAATATGAGGAGCTGCTGCCTTTACACGAATTCACAAAAAATCTCTATAAAAAAAAATAGGATTATCCCAACAATGGTCGAACATATAAATATCTAAAACGGAAATGTTGATTATTGAAAAAGAAAGAATGCAAGAAAAACAAAAATACTTTAAGATGTTAATTTATCGACCTTAAATAATATTTTTATTGTACAACTATAACTTTTTCTGTTTGCTACAATAAAAGAGAAATCATTGAAGAGATCAGATACCGTAATGAAATAATTATTATATCTATTATTCAATTGTATAATGCTATTGTTCGTTTGTTTTTCTGCTACAATGCACCAGAAGACCATTGAATTCTGTCTATGTTGTTCTTCCACTTTCATAAAATTAATCAAATTCCATATATTTGAGTGATTTCGATAAATACGTGAATTTATTCTATTATGATAACATGCAATTAGAGTGTGGACGTGTCTTCTCTTCAGTCATACATTCACGCACCATAAGTCGATATCGATCGTACACTAATGATCTTTTTATCCAACATTTTTACTTTCGACCAAAGTTAAGTTTATCGTGCATTTTTTTAAGGATACTCTCAGGATTTTGATATTTTTATTCGTATATTAAGAGATAAAATAAAAAAAAGTAATCATCCCAAATAGTGTCTAGCATTTGAGAGAAGATGTTTTTTTAGTTCTCGAAGACAAAATACAACTGGTAATAAGCTGGCGGAGAAGTTTTGGATTTTAGCACATGTAATCAGCCGTTCTCTATATATTTGAGAAAAGAGATTCCTGTAAGTAATATCTAGATTTTTAAATGAATATGTGTATGATTTGTTTTTGTTTTTAATTCTATCTAAAATTCAAATTATTGTATAAACCTTTTAGAGTACTCATATGGCATCAGGTTTAGTTACAGAAACTTCGGTATATGAATGTGTTGGTCATCCATCAAAAAAATGATGTTAAAACAATTATAAATGTATTACTTAATGAAAATTTTACAGTTGCATCACAAAGTAAATTAAAAAAGAAAAATGATTAATAATTTAGCTAAAAAAATGTTTACTTTTCAGGATTATCAACATTAAAAACAACTAAAGGTTATGCATTAGCAGATATTCTTACTGAACTTCATCGATATGTTCATAGAAGTAATTGAAATAATTTTCAATTGAATAAAATTATTATTTTATTAATTTCTTAGTTGATTTTCCTCGTGAAATTCGTATTCATCTTCTTATTAAAATGGCTGATATTGAGTAAAATTAATTAATAAAATACTATTATTTTATCTATTTATTTATTCTATAGATATCGTTTAGCAAATGGTGCTACAGAAAAATTACAACTTAGTGCACTTATATCTGCTTTTCAAAAAGCTCGTCGAGTAGAAAGTTCATAAATAGTATTTTTTGTCTTCTTCTTCTTCTTCTTCTTTTTTGGTTCAATAGAAAAAAAGTAATAAAGCAAGCAATTATGTCAGATAGTTCTTTATATAAATAAAATGATGAAAATTATTTTTTTTTTTTGTGTTTTTATTTATAACAATAGTAGTATTTGTAATACCGATTGAACAAGAAAATAAACAAGGCAAAATGTTGATGAACTTGAATTAATTTGATTTAAACCAATTTTACAACGTGCATCTGTTGAATGACGTGTACATCCATCAACACCACCTGGACAATTGATATTTATTTGTGAATAAAGATAACGTTCAAGTTGTTGAAATTGACTTTGTATATCTTGTTGTGAACATTTATCAAGACGAGATTTTAAACAACGAAAATAAACTGTTGCTTGTTGACACCAACTACGTTTATTAACAGTATTCCATGATGGATTAAATTTAACAGTAATTGCTAATGGTTGACATAAATTATTAATTGCTTTTATTTGACATAGATCATTTGGTAAAAGTTCTTGTACAGATGATGGACTAACAATACCATTTTTTAATGATACACTTGATAGAGAACCACCACTACGTACAGAATCAATTGTTCCGGGTTGTTTTGAAGATTCCCATATAATATTAAATTTATAATCTTCGATTTTATCACTGCAAAAAGCTAATAGATCATCGACACGTTTCCGAATGCCTAAAATTAACAAAATAGAAAGAAAGATTTTATATTTGTTAGAAGTCTAGTAAATGATATTTAGATAGACTTAAGAATATTTTAGAGTGACTTCAAAAACTAATCATAAAGATTTAATTTCGATTTTCATTTTTTTCGTAATGATAACCCGCATAAAGAATCTAAAAAGTGTTTTTGAATACAATAAATTGTTAACAACAAGAATTTTACGAGAATAAAATCGTCATAGTTCCGGATCTCTAGAAAACCCAAAGTCTAGTTTTTGAACATCCAGGATCCAACAATAAAAGCTTCGTTTGATTACATGAGATGACAGAATAACTGATCCTTCACAACATTACTGACAAAACTACATTGATATTAAGAAACGTCCAAAAATTGTTTTCTTTTTTCGTAATTTTGCGAAAGGAAAATTGAACAAAGAGGAGTTTTGGGCTTCTCTTAAAATTTACGTTATTCAGCCAAAAAATGTCGCGAAGAGCTCGCAAATGTGCCATTTTACATGTAATCAATAGGAGCTTTTATTTTCAGGACATGGTTACTGAAAAACTAGGATTTTCTAGTAATTCTAAATTGTGAAGATTTTATTTCCCGTAAAATCCTTATTGTTAGCAATTTTCTCTATTCAAGTCACTATTTGGATTCTTTATGCGAGATAGAATTACAGAAAAAAATCAATATTAAATCTATGTGATTCATTTTCGGAGCCACTGTGTATAAACATGATCATTCTCGAATATGATAGTTTTCAAGAATTTACAGTGCACCTTAATTGAATTTCTCCTTACACCCACACCTTCTTTGTTCTGTATTTATCTTCTTTGTTTTCTTCCCGTCTGTTCCTTTGTCTATATCTACATTAGATGAATATCGCATATACGTATTAAATAAATATCACCATTAGACAATCCAATTTGGCATTCAACTATGAAAGCCGTTTGAAGCTATTATCCACTCACAATAATAAATCTTCCGTCACTATTTTCACAAAATTTTTATTCATTATCGAGAGAGAAAAGCAATAGTGCATGTCGCAAATAGAGCCTGTCGGGTAGAATTCGGACCCGCTCGGGTCCGGGTCGGGTCCAGATGTGAAGAAAACTTTGATGCATACAATGTATTGTGAATTTTTTCAAAATTTTGTTCGTTTCATGAAGAAAAAAATTGAATGTATTTCGAAAATATACAAAAAAGCAACAAAAGACTTTTTGAATATATTATCGAAACTGATTTATCATCGTGCTTGGATCCAAAAAATTTAAGCGACCGGGTCCGAGTCGGATCCAACATCTTTTAAACAAGCGGGCCCGGGTTCGGGTCCAAAAATCTTGAACCCGACGGGGTCTAGTCGCAAATGTCCTATTATCTATGAAACTGATCATATCATGACCAACCCTCCTTATAAATATTTTCTTCTTATAATTCAGTATATTGTAGCGAAAAGAAAACGATCT